AGCTTTGTACTGTTATGTAATCTGAATTTTCGAGAAACTCTTCACACGCTTATAAATATAACCAACGCGACAAAAAACTATATATATATTATTGGTTTGCTATAGTTGGTATATTATAAACCTCGGATACTACAATGGTTAATCACCATTATTTATCGGAAAACTTCAAATATTTGACCAGGAATATTTATAAATTTTGAACACTATAAACTATTTAACTTCATTGGATTCAAATCTGACATCAATATTTTTACGAATACATTATATAACTTCAGCGGTAAAAAACTAAAGCTCGACCTATAATCGGCGTGTGATAAGAGAGGCCCAAAGAGCTAGCTAGCTCCCTATTAAAATTTGTATATAAATCATTGTTTGTAATAACCGTTATTGTCAATTGTATTACTGTTTGTGTATTAAAATATATTTGTATTTGAAAAAAAAAGAAAACTGTGTGTATCAATCTTGTTGGCAAATATTATAAATTGGAGATATATCGCCATTTATTTAACTATTAAATTTAAATGATCACTTAGCTCGATTTCATACCATTCGAAATTGTAATACGTAACAACCTCATACTTCCAGACGCAAATTTCAAGCAGTTCAGTCCATATTGCTGTTATTTGGATGTTTCATGAGTAATGCAATGTCTGGGTATTTGGGTGTTCATACTTCACATTTAATATGTTTTCACACTTACAAACTACCCTATCTGTTACGAAACAACCAACTTTTTAAAGCCAAATCACTATCGAATACCACAAGGCTGTGTTATATCATCATACTAATTGTTGCAACTTGATAATTTGAAGAGAAAGAAAAACTAAATACATTATTCACAGAACTTTGTAAAAGTGAAAAGTCATGTTACTTTTTTCCTCTATACACAAACAGCATGTTTAATTTATTCTGCTAGGGCAGATTAGTTAATTCACTTCAACCTTAGGAAAAACAGCTAATTGTTAATTAGTGAATACCCTAATGCTGCCATCTATTAACTTTTATTTTTAAAAATGTTCAAATTAGCCACCACACCCTTTACTCAATACAATGCGTACATAGGTTTTCGTGTTATCAACAAATTTTAAAGAAGAGAGCACAATACATTGCTATAAAATTATTTTAACATCACAAGTATGTGTACTAGATGTACATCCGCAGGGTCCCCGAAAGCGTTCTGTTTCAAGAGTAAATAAAATCAAAACCAAGTATGTCATGAAGTTCGTATGTCATGCTGTTTTGTAGCCTACAGAGTGTATAATTGTTCTCGTGGTTCATGGAATGGAAAGTTTTACTGACGTCACGACAATACAAATTACAATGTTAAGCGCCCCTTATGAAACGTCATTTTAGTGTCTACTGACTGACTGACAGACAGACAACATATTATTGCATAATGGTGCGAGAAGTTAAAACAGGTGACCCTCCAAGTGGCCTTCGGCCCCCTTTCGAAGAAATAAAACCCAAATATTTTCAGATAATACCGTCTTCCCAATGTGCTACTCTTCGTCAGCGTTCGAATTTTTTGTGATCGCGATTTGGGCCTTATATATATATATATATATATATATATTTGTGTGTGTGTGTGTGTGTGTGTGTGTGTGTGTGTGTGTGTGTGTGTAGTTCTGAAATGAATAGTAATGCAAGTTATCACGAACGGATTATTACTATTTTGAATATCGAAACGTATTATCACTCATTGGAAACCACAGGAACTGTTTCACGCGCGAAAAAAAATTCTAAGTTACGAATACACAAGAAACACGTTAAAATGTAGTTGTCATTCGAACTTAGGTTAGAAATCATTTCCTGATACTTGTTTATTCTACTTCTTTTCGATAATAAGTCTTGTAAGATATGTTTTTTTTAATCCTCAAATTTCTGAACAAAACTGATTTATCTCTCAATTGGCTGTGTTTAAAAAACTTATGTATAATAATAATACTCTTTCTTCACATGAACTGATTACCATCACTGTAGCGTTCCTAAACGTTATAATTAGATCAAGTTGAAATGAGCAAATGTGAATTGATTGACTGGTGGTTCATGCAAAACCCGATGTTTTCTGATCTTTCGAAACGTCGTTCTTTCCACCTAGGTTACGTTTGTAGATTAATCTTCCAAGACTTTTTTCTGAACTAAACAGTTCAGAAATAAAATAGTTTTAAGATGGAAAAATTACAGAAGCTGTTTTTTCTTACTGGAAGACGTAAGCAATAAAAAATAATTATGATAATCCTAGCAGGATTTAAAAACACCAAACACTGATTTATAAATATTCTAAGGCTCTTTAAAAGCTATTTATTTAGCTTAAGGAAACTGTACTTACATGTTATCTTGTTTCGTGAGCGGAATCAAGACGCGTTCTGGAAAACGGTTTCACGTATTTTGGTAACACAACTTAAAATTAGAGCTTTTATTACAGTATCCTTCCATTATATTCTGATGACATCTAAGTGTGTGTGTGTGTGTTAATTTTTATACATATTTTGAGCTTTAGGTGGAGCAACTATTATACACCCTAACCGATGACATAAACACAGGTAAAAATACAATATCAAATAAACTAACCAAAATCAATGTAACTGACAATGCGTTCATCAAGGCAGAGCAGTTTATCCGAAATAAATTACTACATATCTTTCATAAAAAAAACAGATTATACATTCCTCAATAGTTCACATTAGCTTAACAACTGTGTATTGATAGGTAACCAGAAACAAATTTCACCACCATATGAAACTTGATGGGCAGTAACTTACTACATCTCCAATGCAGAAAATGCGCACGCTATAAATTACAATAACTGATGTTTTTAACATCATACTTATTGAAGTTACTAAAACTCACAATGTGTGTTACTAGTGTCAACACTATTCCTTGTTTCCCTTTCAACATTGTACCTGAGAAACGTTAGACCAGCTACATAATTACTAATTGAGGCTGCTGAAAAACAAATATTCTATTTGTCATTCATACTACTTTTTACAGACTTTTACCCCTCTTATTTTGTTTAGGAGTTTGGTTTCTTTATCAAATAAATCTGTGTACTTTCCAGTGTGCACTAAATAAAAGAAATAATGTGACTGGTACAGTTACTTAAACGCCATTATTAATCTAATGTAATATAGTTTGTTAAAAAAATAATTGAAGATAATATTGCACAAACATGTTTTACTTACAGCCCCCAAAATCTTAATATGTAATTTATATTCTTAGAGATACAAAAATCCAACCAACTATTATGTACAGACACAATAAAAACAAATGAGACATAACACTACAATAAACATGTAAACCAGTAAGTATATGTACAATAGACTTACATAAAACACTATAATTACAAATGTACTTTTAAATGGACAGAAATAATTTTACAAATGAGAAAAGAATTCAGACCTAGTTATCTACCACTTTTATCCTTTCACAGCCTTCATAAAGTGTTTCATGAAATAAAATGTATCTGTAATACCACAATCTTATACATATAGATAGATACTTTGCTTGGGAAGAACTGTTAGTTATTACAGAACATGTTTGATTTTTTTTTATTCACAGAAAAAAACACTGAATGATAACAAAAAAAAAAAACAATCATATGGTAAAATCCTATAAAATCATGATTATTTCAAAACAAAAGTTATCATACAAAATTTTTGTCACCTAATTATACTAGCTTTCTTTCTTTTATAGATATATACACACATTACTTTCTCAACATCCTAAACATAACAACAAAAAACCCAAAAGTATGAGACCAAATTGCTATAAATATATGAACATTTTAATATATTAAATTTAAATTCTTCTATCACCTGTTAGTCTACAAAAACCTGTATGTTACAATGTTGTAAGTTGTATCACATAATTTAAATTGCAGTTCATCTAACTTACAGAAAATTTGAAATAATTTCTTAAATTTCAATCTACTTAAAACTTTTAACATCAAAGACCAGATTGGGTCTTAAAAAAGGAAAAAAATCTGAATTCTTGTTAATTATTAACTTTTCATTTAGAAACAAGATTATGCTTAACCTCTGTTCGAAGTTTTAGAAAGCTCCTTATATTATGTATTAAAAGCCATTATAAAATTATGCTATTCGTAGTTAACTCTTCTTAACAATGGAAAATTATTCACCTAAAAACTGAAATGAGGTTTCTCGTTACAAAAAAATTATTTCTATATCCAATTTGTAACATACTTTAACATAAAAGAATTGAGTATTTATTTTGCATAAGTAAATGAACCATGAATTTTTAAATACATGACAGTATATATATATATACACACACACACACACACATTGATTTTCTTTGTACAGAGATATTTTGCAATAAAAAGTAACTATTAGAAACAGAAGATACAATACAGTAATGTGAAAAAATAAAATAAATTATTTCACATCTATATTTTTGACAATCCAAAACGTTAGAGTCACACCAAGATAGAATATTTAATACAGATCATAAAAAAAGTGGATTAGTTGTTAATGAATAACAATTTTCAAATATGAAATCTTCAGCCATAGTACTATCAACTCTCAACACCTTTTGTGAGAGATGATTCTAAGGTAATGCTGAACTCTGATAGGCTCTCCAAGATCTGGACCAGAAATGTGACTAAGCTAGGATCTCGCAAGAATGACTGTTCCTCATACATGCTAGCAGTAATCGGACTAGATGCTACGTGTAATAGCATTCTATGGAGCAGGTGGTCTCTGGAAATATAAAATAACATGGTGAAAGTAACTGCCAAGTGTAAGATTGAAATTTTTATTGGGAGCTTAATTCAGATTTTTAACCATATCAGCATTATGCACATTTAAAACATTTTTCATGATCAGTTACTAATTGTTTAAAGAGAATACTGAACATTACATGGAGCATCGAATTAAAGCAAAACAGTAACAAAAAAATAATTGCCAAGAATAAATATCGAACAGCAAGAAGTTCTCTTTTAACTTATAAAACAGTTTTCTTTATAAAGATCAATTTTAAGTAAAAAAGGTAACATAAGTTTTATAAAATATTTCAATCTGAAGCTCTGATACAATAATATTACAATTCTCACCTAATGTGATGCTTGTCAGACATAAGTATGTGTAACTACCATATTCATGTGTTTTTGTGTAAAGTATAAAAACTTCTGGAAATACAATTAAAAATAATAAGCATCTTTTTCTATACTTAAGCAATAATGAGCAAATAATTTTAGACAAATTGTAAACACATACAAAATAGAATAAGTCATTATAAACTTGATTTTCTGTACTTTCATTGTCAGAAGTTACAAAACTTCAAATATATCCTGAAAAATTATTAGTCTACATGTAAATACTTTACCTGGCTGCAAAACAAATAAACAACTGAAACTTTCCATCTTTTCCTACAGAATGTGAGGCTTTATCAATCTTATCAACCAGATGGCAGTATGATTTCATAACAAAAACATGTTCATGAGACTCCCATGGTACTGAGCTTTCAGTACTACGTTCTTCGTGAAGTAAGCTACCAAAATATGCTCGAACTTTCACTGAAACAGTTTAAAAATTAAAAAAATAAAATAAAACACTTAAATAAAACAATTTTT